TAGGTGTGCAAACTGTGAAACCACCAGTAGGTAACTCCTGTTTTGTGTGCTAATATCTCTCTACTTATTTTTTCTTAGTGTATGATTCTTCTTCTAAAATGTTCTTTTATGAGTTAGGGTTCATATGAATCCTGTTTCACTAAAAAATATGAAGTTTTGAGGCATTAACCAATTTATTAAAGTTAAGTGTGCAATCTGTCAACTAATGACAGATGTGTGCATGTAACTTTATGGTACCATATCTTCCTCTTAACTCATCCAAAATGAGTGATTTTTAGTTTGAAAGTTTCATATAAATTTTAAGTTTATAATCCAACTTGAATTTCTGCAGAACACTTAGGGCTTGTTTGTTTTAAAAAAAAACCTCTTAAAACCACTTAAGTCTGAATCGGTCAGACATTTATGTTTTCAGACTGTTTGATTTCTTTGTAAAATAAAAGCTGAAAAGCTCTTACCGTCCTCTGAAATATTCAGTGCAAAACCAAAGTCTGAAATCAATATCACTCTTCTCCTAAGCTTCTTTCTGTATTTTGGTGGTATGGAAAGGCTTTCATCATCCAGATTCCATTGATCCAACAACACAAGGAACCCAAATTCCACCAAAATCAGGATTTGCAATTACTCGAATGGCATGAAGCGATGAAGCGATGAGTGTCGATGCCCTAAAACGAGCCTTGAAGCGATGAGTGTCGATGCCCTAAAGCGATTCATCAGACTCAATTTGGGGAAATGGACTGGTTCTTTTCACATCGGTATCGTAACTCGTATGAATTCTTCTGGATTAAAAATTGTTTCGTTGTTAATTTAACTCGATCTTTTCTTCTTCCTGGTGATCCAAGCAGGTCTCAATCTCTTCTTCTGCTTCTCGATCCAAGCAGCTGTCGGTCTCTTCTTCTGCCTCTCGATATCTCAAGAAAGATAATGGGTCTTCTGTTTATATGTTTTCTTTTTGTTTGATTTGGCATAAGAAACACCATGGAAATACCTGAGGATCGATTTGGGTTTCTTATAATAGTTGATTGTTTATCTGTTTATCTATTTTCTTGATTTGGGTAGACCTGCTTATCTGTTTTTTTTTCTTCATTTGATTGCATTTGGTGAATTCCCTTTTAGAATTGTTATCCATATGTTTCTTGCATCAGTTGTTTTATGAAAAATACATGTTCCAATGTTGATCCTTGTAGCATTCCATAATGTTATTTACACTTTCTTTAGATACAATTTGTTCCTTTATTCTCTGGATCTCGATTGTTTTCTCAATTTGTTCCTCAGTTTCTAATGGACTCCCTGGATGTTAACTTATTCTGCAYTTTGATTCTGTGTGATTGAAATATGGGAAACTGATAAAMTCGTTATGAGAATTCTATGTGTTGCTTATCAAGTTGGGAATGATTGACATTTGGAGTGCCGGAGATAGAATTATGATTATGGTTTTATTAGCTTCTATTATGCTGATCTGTTTAGGACTACAACACATAGTTGTATAATATATACAGGGGTTTCTCAATGATAGAAGTCGAATTAACCATAGACATTTGCATAACGATTCTAAATTGGACTGCTCAAAATTGTTTGGTTTGTCCAGGTCAAAATAATGAGGGCCCTCCAGTATGCCCCAACGCTTTCAAATGTTTCTTGTTACAATAGTGTTGTCTTTCCAAATAGACAATAAACCATCMTGGATATACATGTTTGATATGAGTAGCAAAAATTCTTCTACCAACGGTCCGTCTCAGGTTCAACCATACTTCGATACCTCCAATAGAAGGGTTAGAAAGATTGAAGATGAAGAGTCTATTGGTCAGCGTAGAAAGAAGGTTCGAACATCTAATGATGGGTCTGGTCCATYTCAAGAAACCAGGAGATCAACCAGAACTTCKTCACGGTTAYACYGTTGATAAATTTGTAAACAAAATGTTGTCTTTTGTTAGAAAAACTCTAGGCCAGTCATGAACAGTAGATGGGATTTTGTGAATATTGTGTATCCAACTATTTTGACCCATGAAAACAYATTGGTATTGAAGTTGCCWGTTTACTTGAATGAAAACCTATTGGTATTGTGTATCCAACTATTTAGRAAACTATTTTCATCTGTTTCTAAAAGAAAGTTTATCAATCTATTCATAATACCTCTCTTTTTCTAGTGTTTTTCTCCTACATATGAGTTATTTTTTGAGTATGATCAAACCAATGAGCAAGGGAATGATGGCAACACAATTAATGCAAAATGAATATTGATTCTAGTTGTTTTGAGACTTTGTTTATGTTTATATTGATTCAGATTTCAGACTTTAGACGTAAAAACAAACAGTCTAACTGTTTCAGATTTCAGACTTCAGACGTAAAAACAAACAGTCTGACTGATTCAGATTTCAGACTTCAGCACCACCTCTTAAAAATCAGAAGTGAAATAAGACTTCAGACTTCATCACCTCTTAAAAAACAAACGCCACCTTAGTAGAACTCTTTTAATGAGTGTTTTACTAACATGGTGTAATCTGCCATATCAGTTGTGATAAGTTGTATTGCATAAATTATTTGAATCACTATTGCATGTCCAAAATACATGAAATTTGGTCACGATGACTATAACTCAGTGCTATAGCCCATGTAAAAAGATAGGAAATTATCTCATTTTAAAAGTCTCTTTAATTTGATCATTTTTAGGTATCATTAGTTTCTGCGCAAAACCGAGATTTTGGGATTAGTTGATTTTGTAAAATTTTGATCTTTTTATTGGACTATAGCATTGCTTTCGGTATAAATTAATACATTAACGAGCATATGGACATTATGGACTATGGATAATCATATGGGACATAAGTAGACAATTATGGACTTAGGACTTATTAAACCCCATAAGTAGTGTTAAATCCATAAGTGATGGTTTGGATATTCCTCTTTGATAGGGAATCGTTGAACTAGTGTGGTGATCAGATCGTATCTCTATTTTGCGGAGCATTGCAAAAGAGTGAGTATTCACGGCCCCTTTTTAAACTTTTCATTATTTGGGGGAAAAAGCATGTATAAATATAGTGATGTTTTGCATGCAATATTCATTGCGTTTAAACTGTGGATTCAAATTGATTCTTATGAATTATATTTTGAACTGAAATTGTGAATGCAAGCACTAACACCTTGTACTCAAGTAATAGTTGTGTTTGGGTTATTTCAAAAGTCCCGGTGTGACACTACTATTAACTCGTTGAGCCGATAGTTTAAGTGGATAGCGCTATTTGGACTGACAATCCCACCTTCTGCTGGTGAGTAGGGGTGCATATAACTAAAACAAGGGTTCTACACATGTGGGGTTTAGTCCCACCGCTGAGGTAGTTCGGTATAAAAGGGCGTAGGTGTCAGGTTTAGTAGTGGCCCAACACTTAAAAATTTCTTGGAGTACATTGTGCCTCGTGTGTAAGTGTTGCGAGTAAGTAAAAGATTTACTCGACTTATTTATTGCTTAAAGATTTGTTGTGAAATGAAAACCTGTGAACTCACCAACTCTTGTAGTTGACACTTGTTTTGATGTGCTTTTTCAGGGGTAAGAAAGGCTCATGGTGACACTTAAATGAAGTCGTGTCACAATCATCACCTTCAAATTTCTTGTGTGTTTAATTTACAAACTTGTCTTTGGGATTGTAAACTTTGGTTGTGATGTATTTAAATTTTAAAATGTATGGTTGTGTTACTTATACTCTATCGCTATGAGACTCCACCTGCCATACCTCGCGTTTCCGCTTTAGCGGGGAGTGACAGATTTGGTATCAGAGCTGTAGGTTATAGAGAACACCGGTTTTCTAAGAAAACCATACACTATAACCCAAAAATTTTACGAATTAAACATTTTTTAGAAAGAGTCTCAGAAATTTAAAACGGACATACTACTAAAATAACCAGAACGAGTGACTTCTTAACATACTCTAACTAGACAAAGCCTGATCACCTGTGTCTAATTAAGTATGTATAAGGGGAGATGCAGATCGGTTATGTTAGGTGTTTGTCTAAAAGTTAAGGACTTCTTACTCAATAAGAAAAGCACGGTTCACATATGTGAGTTTGCATAAATTTTTGCATCTTTTTGTCATTTATTATGATTCGTTTAATAATTCAAATTTTATTAAATATCACAGCATTATGTCGTCAGAAAATGAATATTCGAATTTCGGAGATTACGATCCCTCTGAGCACGGTTACGATAGTGACAACGATGTCACTGAATCTTCGGCGCGATCACCCACCCCACAGCCGCCTCGCTCTGTACCCGCGCATCCTATAGCGCAACACGGAGTTAGAGTTCGGGCCACCGCCCGAAAGTGCATTCTTCCACCTATGAGGGTGTCTTTCTCCGCCCCATCTGGAGCCGTGAGGGAGCCATCACGGTCACGCACTCGTAGTGTAACACCCCCACCCACTACCAGGACCACATCGGAGCGCTCTCCGGGTATGGCTACCCTGAAGAATTTATGGGTTTTGGGCGTGGCTCAAGATCTTGAGATGTGTCAACTTAGGCTGGAGCATTATCGACACTTCGCCGATGGAGTGATTACAGCCCTAGGCACTCAAGATAATATGATGAATCGTTCATTAGAGTTGATTTTCATCGCTAGGAGAGCGATTAGGAGGTTGCACACTTATCTAGCGGTGTTAGCAGGAATTCTGATGATAGTGATGGGGTTGCTTATTTGGAGTCTTATGCGTTAGAGGATTTTATTTATTAAGTTGTTGATGGTGGAAATTTAAGACTTTCTTTTGAGGCTTGTAGCCGTGTTTTGTGAACAATTTTTCTTTTATATTGCACATCTTTATTTTATTTATGGATTTTATGAGATTTTGTCTATGAATGGTTAAGTTATGTTGACTATCGATTTAATGCCTTTACTATTATAAGTTATTATATTATTACCTTGGTTACATGATTAGATGATTGTAAATGCCGTGCAACACAGTGGTAAATAATAAGAGTAACTGAACTTCGACTTAAAAATTTGTGCATTAGAAATATGCCTCCAAGAAGGAGTACTCGCAGCATGAGAGAAAATCCTGAAAGCCAAACACTCGATATAGCACGGTTGATAGCTCAGCAAATTCGGGAGGCAGTACCAACTATTGTCGCTCAGGTTACAGCGGGAATTAATGCAAGTCAAAGGAGTGAGGGAGGCCCTAACACCGAGAATCCCGTCAGGGAGGAGAACTGTAACACCAATGATAGAGGATGCAGTTACAAGACATTCATGTCCTGCAAGCCAAAGGAGTTTCATGGTAAAGAAGGTGCAATTGGATTACTATCATGGATTGAGAGCATGGAGTCGGTACTCCATATTAGCAAGTGTTCCGAGGACTGTAAAGTGAAGTATGCAACATGCCAACTCCAGGGAAGAGCCCTAACTTGGTGGAACATTCAAGTTCAAACCCGTGGTCGCCAAGCTGCCTATGAGTTATCATGGGAAGAACTCAAAAAGTTACTCATCGAAGAGTATTGTTCTAAGAGCGAAATTCAGAAATTGGAAGTTGAATTCTGGAATCACATCATGATTGGAATGGAGGTGGACAAATACACAGCTCGTTTTCATGAGCTTGCCAAGTTAGTACCTCATATGGTCACTCCAGAGGAGAAACAAATTGATCGGTACATCTGGGGATTGGCACCTGAAATCCGAGGGATGGTCACTTCGGTAAACCCAACCACTATACAAAACGCGGTGGTGTTGGCAAATCGTCTGACAAATGATGCAGTTAGATTAGGGATTTTAAAGCAAGACAAATTTGGTGGAAATAGGAAACTAGAGGGGCAATCGTGGAAAAGGACCAACAACGATTTAGGCAAAAACCAAAAAGTGATAAGAAACTTTGGGGCTCAGTCTCAAACAGGAGAAAAGGGCAAGGGGACTTACCCTAAATGTGGCAAGTGCAATTATCACCATAGCGGGAGATGCGTTATTTGTTTCAAATGCAATAAAGGAGGTCATATCGATAAAGATTGCAAGATCAGAGAGAATCAATCATGCCATAAGTGTGGAAGCCCGAATCACTTCAGGAATGCATGCCCGAAATTGAACCAAGAGTCAGCTACTAACCCAGCACGACCAATCAACCAAGGAAATCAAGGAGGCCAAGCACGAGGTCGAGCGTTTACAATTGGAGTGGAAGAAGCCAAGCAAGACTCAAATGTGATCACAGGTACATTTCTTCTGAATAACCATTACCCATTCATACTATTTGATTCTGGAGCAGATAGAAGCTTTGTATCCCTAGAATTTAGACCAAAGATTGGTTTAAAGTCGCAAAAGCTGAAAGAAGATTTCGTTATCGAATTTSCTAATGGTCAGGAAGTTAGGACTAAAGACGTAATCACMAATTGTACATTACATTTAGCTGAACAAAACTTTAGCATAGACCTTATTCCAATTAGATTAGGAAGCTTCGATATCGTTGTGGGTATGGATTGGCTATCCAAAAATCAAGTCGAGATATGTTGTTCTGAGAAGACCATTCAAATTTTGAAAGGAAGTGAAACGCTCGTGGTGCATGGAAGAAGTCCCACAGAAATTTCAAGTTAGTAACGTGTATGAAGATGCGAAAATACTTGAAAAAGGAATATGTCGCGTTTATGGCTCACATTATGGATAAAGGAATTAAAGAGAAAAGCATCCAGGATTTTCCCATAGTTCGGGATTTTCCCGAGGTGTTTCCTGATGAGCTACCAGGATTACCCTCGTTACGGCAAGTTGAATTTCACATTGACTTAATTCTCGGAGCAGCACCTGTGGCCAAATCACCATATCGTCTGACACCATCGGAAATGAAAGAATTGTCAGATCAACTAAAGGAGCTACTTGACAAAGGATTCATCAAACCCAGCTCTTCACCCTGGGGAGCTCCAGTTCTATTTGTTAAAAAGAAAGACGGATCCCTTCGAATGTGCATCGATTATAGGGAACTCAATAAGTTGACCATTAAGAACCGATATCCCCTTCCCCGAATCGATGACTTGTTCGATCAACTTCAAGGTGCTACATACTTTTCAAAGATTGATCTACAATCCGAATACCATCAAATGAGGGTCCATGAGGAAGATATTCCTAAGACGGCGTTTAGAACTCGTTATGGTCACTATGAATTTTTAGTCATGCCATTTGGGTTAACTAACGCGCCAGCAGTTTTCATGGATTTAATGAATAGGGTATGTAGGCCATATCTGGATAAGTTCGTGATTGTATTCATAGATGACATCCTGATTTATTCGCAAAACAAGGAGGAGCATGAGCAACACTTAAAGTTGATACTTGAACTACTAAGGGATCAGAAATTATATGCCAAGTTCTCCAAATGCGAATTTTGGATTCGTGAGGTGCACTTCCTTGGTCATGTGGTCAATGCGAAAGGAATTCATGTTGATCMGGCCAAAGTTGAGGCTATAAAGAAGTGGGAAACTCCAAGGACTCCAACATAAATTCGCCAATTTCTCGGTCTAGCAGGTTATTATCGCCTTTTATTCCAAATTTCTCCAAGATCGCAACCACTAACGGTATTAACCCCAGAAGGATAAGGAGTTTAGGTGGGGAGAAAAACAAGAAGAAGCATTCAAATTGCTCAAACATAAGTTGTGTCATGCACCGATCTTAGCGCTACCAGAAGGCACGGAGAATTTTGTGGTATATTGCGATGCATCACACCAAGGCTTGGGATGTGTACTGATGCAAAATGACAAGGTCATTGCTTATGCATCAAGGCAACTTAAGGTTCATGAAAAGAACTACACCACTCATGACCTGGAGCTAGGAGCTGTGGTTTTCGCTCTCAAAATATGGAGGCATTATTTGTGCGACACTAAGTGTACTATTTTTACCGATCACAAAAGTCTCCAGCATATCCTTGATCAGAAGATGCTCAATATGAGACAGAGAAGATGGGTGGAGTTGCTCAGTGATTATGATTGTGAAATCCGATACCACCCAGGTAAGGCCAACGTAGTGGCAGATGCTCTAAGCCAGAAGGAAAAGATAAAAACCTCTCGAGTATGAGCTTTGGGAATGCTTGTCCAGACGAGTTTGAAGACTCAAATTCTTGAAGCTCAAAATGAAGCGCTGAAGGCAGAAAATTTGAAGAGTGAGACCCTGCATAATCTAGAGCATAAATTCAGGATTAAGTCAGATGGAGTGCGTTACTTCAAGGACAAAGTTTGGATTCCGAAGATTAAAAATATACGAGAGTTAGTTTTGGAGGAAGCCCATAAATCTAGGTATTCGATTCACCCAGGGGCGGATAAGATGTATAAGGATCTGAGAGAGTACTATTGGTSGCCAGGAATCAAAAAGGATATAGCTTTGTACGTTGGGAAATGTTTGACTTGCTCAAGGGTCAAGGCAGAATATCAGAAGCCATCCGGATTGTTACAACAACCTGAGATTCCCCAATGGAAATCGGATCAGATATCAATGGATTTTGTTACAAAGTTACCAAGAACAAGGAAGGGATATTTCTCAGTTTGGGTCATAGTGGATCGACTTATGAAATCTGCACACTTTATGCCTATTCGAGAAGATTTCAGTACAGAAAGACTAGCACAGTTGTATATCAATGAGATTGTATCACGGCATGGAGTACCTGTTTCTATCATTTCGGATAGAGACAGCCGCTTTACTTCCAGGTTATAGCAATCGATTCAAAGGTCATTAGGCACGAGATTGGATTTAAGCACTTCATATCATCCTCAGACGGATGGACAAACGGAAAGGACGATTCAAACATTAGAGGATATGTTGCGAGCCTGTGTGATAGACTTCGGAAGTAGTTGGGATACCCATCTGCCATTGGTCGAATTTTCTTACAATAACAATTATCACACCAGTATTCAATGCGCACCTTTCGAAGCCTTGTATGGCCGAAAATGTAGATCCCCACTCAGTTGGCAGGAAATAGGCGATAGGCAACTGATCAGGCTTGACATTATCCAGGAGACAACCTACAAAATCGCAATTATCCAAGAAAAACTTAAAGCTGCAAGGGATCGCCAGAAGAGCCATGCCGATAATCGAAGGAAACCCTTGGAATTTCAAGTGGGTGATAAAGTTCTTCTAAAAGTATCACCGTGGAAAGGGGTTGTGCGCTTCAGAAAGAAAGGAAAGCTTAGTCCAAGGTATGTTGGTCCATTCGAAATACTCGAAAGAGTAGGGCCAGTTGCATACAAGCTCAGCTTACTCCCGAAGCTTAGTGCCATCCATGACACGTTTCATGTGTCGAATCTTAAGAAGTGCTAGTCTTTAGTTTTACCTCTGGAAGATATTCAAGTTAATGAACGACTATGTTTTATCGAGGAGCCGATTGAAATTCTCGATCGTAAGGTTAAGCAGTTGAGGCAGAAACAAATCCCAATTGTAAAAGTTCATTGGACTTCGCGGCATGGACCGGAATATACATGGGAAAGAGAAGATTCCCTGAGAAGMAAGTACCCACATCTTTTCCTTAACAAGTTTTGATTTGGAGTGAACAAGTAAATTTYGGGACGAAATTTCTCTAACAAGGGGAGACTGTGACAGCCGTCAAATTCGTACTCCCAGGTTAGCTCTTATTAAGTTTGTATTAGTGTTATTGAAGATAATTTATAAGATTAGGAGTTAGTTAGGTTAGTTTGGTCGAAAAATTTCTAAGAGATTCCGGTAGTTGCTTAGAAAGTCCGGTTCCGACCCGAAATTATCAGAAATGTCTCATACAGTACCAAATGCTCTAATTTATACCCAATTTATATAAAACACTACGTTTTAGTGTTTTAAATGTAAAACCTTTCTATTTAAATGAATTTAGTTATCATGGGCTTTTAGTTTGAAGAAAAATGTCAAAATTGAGAAAATGGCATTTTATGCATTTTGGGCTTTGTTTTAAAAAAAAAATTTGTTGAGTTTGGGTTGGGCTCTCCATGGCCGGCCCCCCCTCCCCCTTTTCCCTCCATCAACCCACATATAAATATCATATTTCTTCTATTATTCTTCATTTCTCACCTTTTCAATTTTTGAAACTCCTTCTCTCTCTCTCCCTCCCTAAAAACTCAAGAGTCACCTTCTTCATCCTTCATCTTCAGCCGATTTTCTTCTTTTCTTGATCATATTAGCAAGGGTTTTGAAGATACTACACTCCTTTCTTCATCAAACAAGGTAACATCTTCATCTCCTCTTTTTCTTGTAAATTTTGGGAGAAAAACCCACTTTTTATGCATTCTTTATCTACTATCTTCTAACTTCCAAAAATTTTGAGTTTTAAGGAAATATTATACACCAAAAACATGTAAAAATGTTTATATGATGGTGGTAATCTATGACCCAAACATTAGAACTCAAAAAGATAGGTAAAAATCATGATTTCATGTGAGTTTGTTTCTTAAAAATGATATATTTTGGTGCTGACAGATTATGTGCATGTGCACAAATCGTCTATATCTTGTAAATGACATGTTCAAATGTTATGAAGTTTCTTCTAAAAGTTTATTTATTGAGTTGGGGTTGTAATCCAATTGGTCTCACTCRAAAACATTGAGTTTTGACTCCCCAAATACTCAAAACATTATATATGTGCTTCTGAGAGTTTTTTAGTAGGTAAACCCTATTTTAAACAGCCATAACCCTCTAGATAATCATTCAAAATCATTGATTTTTCTTCTGGATGTTAGTTTAATGAGTTACCTTTCAAATGCCACCAATTTCATTCAATATTGTGATGATTTGAGGTTTTAACTACTCAAAACAAAGTGAACATGCAATCTGTCCGAATCTGACAGATTTGTATATGTATGTTCCAATGACCATATCTCTTTCAAAACTCAATGAAAAAGGATGATTCTTCCTTTGAGAGTTAACTATGTGGGTTATATCCTTCATGCAAGTGGAATCACATGAAATTATGGAGTTTTGATCTCTAAACACCTAAAACACTATAGGTGTGCAAACTGTGAAACCACCCGTAGGTAACTCCTAWTTTGTATGCTAATATCTCTCTACTTATTTGTTCTTAGTGTATGATTCTTCTTCTAAAATGTTCTTTTATGAGTTACGGTTCATATAAATCCAGTTTCACTCAAAAATATGAAGTTTTGAGGCATTAACCAATTTATTAAAGTTAAGTGTGCAATCTGTCAACTAATAGCAGATGTGTGCATGTAACTTTATGGTACCATATCTTCTTCTTAACTCATCCAAAATGAGTGATTTTTAGTTTGAACGTTTCATATAAGTGTTAAGTTTATAATCCAACTTGAATTTCTGCAGAACACTTAGTAGAACTCTTTTAATGAGTGTTTTACTAACATGGTGTAATCTGCCATATCAGTTGTGATAAGTTGTATTGCATAAATTATTTGAATCATTATTGCATGTCCAAAATACATGAAATTTGGTCAAGATGACTATAACTCAGTGCTATAGCCCATGTAAAAAGATAGGAAATTATCTCATTTTAAAAGTCTCTTTAATTTGATCATTTTTAGGTATCATTAGTTTCTGCCCAAAACCGAGATTTTGGGATTCGTTGATTTTGTAAAATTTTGATCCTTTTATTGGACTATAGCATT